ATATGTACTTATGATGATAGCAGTGTTGTTCACCCTAGGGGACATTTGGAAAGATAAGGAGGCATATTTGTATAATCTAATGGATTAGTGGGCAAGAACCAAGGATGATAAACATATTATCATAGGGACGCCGGGGTGGCCTAGTGTTTGAGTGTCTGCCTTCAGCTCAGGTCGTGACCCCGGGGTCCCAGGATCGAGTCCTACATCGGGCTCCCAGCAGGGAGCCTGCTTCTCCCTCTGCCTATGTCTCTGCCTCTCACTGTGTCAGTCATGAGTAAATAAATATAATTTTAAAAACCTATACTATCATATATAATTTTTAAGAGTATTTATTTATTTGAGAGAGAGAAAGCAGAGCAAGTGGGAGAGAACACTAGTGGGGAGGGGCAGAGGGAGAAGCAGGCTCCCCACTGAGCAGGGAGCCAATGCAGGGCTCAATCCCAGGACACCAGGATCATGACCTGAGCCAAAAGCAGAAGGTTAACCGACTGAGCCACCAGACACCCTTATCATATATAAGTTTTATATATGGTGTAAACTATGTATTTATAGTCTAACACATGCTTTCCTGTGAGCTCTTCTAACAAGTAGCATCTTCTGGGAGTCATGTTTCATAGAACGGAGTGTGAAATGCTGATTTAGAGTGATAAACCAACACGATCTATAGACAGATAGATAGATTACATATATATATATATAAACCTAAAATATATATATATATATATATATATATATATATATATATAATCTATGTTGAATAAGTCTGGAGACTTGTGGCCCCGGGATCTCATCGTTAAGACTGAGAGCCCTCCGGAGCTCATCATGTGTTCTGCCTTAGTCTATCATTCTTCTCTGCATTCGTGTGTACCAGCAGGATGTCAGCATGAGATGCACTCATCAGGGAGCTGTCATGGAAAATGGGCAAAGAATTAAGAGGCCACTTGGTATCATGGAGAAGAAGTGTCTCAATGAGTCAGCCTCATCTGACAATTACAGTGAATATTGTGAGGCTCAGATGGGGAAGAGCAGCTAAGGCCACCCCTGGAATGTGCAGCTCAGTGCAGCCCTGATGAAAAATGCCTGAGGAAATTCTGTTTGGCTAGAACCACTAATCACGGAAGACAGAGGCTTCTCTTGCCTGGGCGTGACACCCTTCCAAAGCAGGATCTAGCACACAGAGGCATGAAACAAAGCAGCCCAGTGGGCTCTGAGTCAGGGCCGCACAACAGAGCCATGACTAGTCCATTCTTGCAGCATCCCTGGGGACAAGTCTCCAGTTCCTCCTGCAGGCGGCACACGCTCTAGCCCCTCTGCACCAGCACAGGCCCAGAGGCTCTCCAGCGGGCCTGTTACAGAGGGAGCTGGATGTGCTCTAAGGAGCGCAACCTTCATGTGTAGTGAGTGTAACTCCGAGGCCCAAACGCCGGCCACTCCACCGAAACCAGAGCATCTGAATCGTGAGTGCTTTGAGAGAAAAGACCACTTTTAAAAATTTCCCTAACACCTTTCCGTCAGATAATCCTGAATTAAGGACATACTCACTTCAAACTGTGCTGTAAGAGAGGACCAATAAGTGGGTGAAATTGTTAGTAACCTGTCTATGACAATGGCTGACTCAGAAAACCAACCTGCAAGGCCTGGCAGCTGCTGCCTCTCGGGGACTCCAAGGGGCTGGAGGAGAGGAAAGCATACTCCAGGCTGGGTTGCCAGCACTGCTGCCAAACAAACTCAGATAAACTCTGCTCAAGAGAAGTCGATAACTCAAGAGACACGGGTTTAGAAAAGAGAGAAGAGTTTATCTTGGGTGCCAGCTGCGTGGGGGGGCAGAGGGTGTGGAGGCTCCTGTTTTAACAACCAGCCTCGCAGCAGAAGAAACACCTAGAGCTTTGTAGGAGAGGTTTGGCGGAGGGGGGGGGTATGTGCAGGGGCGCAGGCAGAGAGCACATTTCATCAATACCCCAAGAAAGTGTGATAAGGAACAAGCACAATAGATCTTAGAGTATGAGTTGGGGTGTCCTGCATGTGTCTAGTTTTAACTGTTGGGGTCTGCGGGTCTACAGGTGAGGAAGAGGGCTCGCTGACAACATGAAACTAGGCAAGAAAGATACAATGCAAAAGAATGAGTCAATTTGGGGTCTTTAAGATGAAGTGACATGCTCACTCAGTCTCCTACCCATCTATTTACTTGACAGACATCTATAGGAACCCCCATGCTAGCTCTCAGAGGGACAGAAATAAAAAGTTTCTTTTCTCAAGGAATCCAGGTGGTCTAGCTGTTCCTCCCAGGTTGGAATGCACATGAATCACTTGGGATCACAGCTGAAAATGCAGATCCCTGGCCACACCCCAACAGAGTCTCATTGACGTTGGCTGGGGTGACTTCTAAGCATCTTCATTGTTTTTTTTTTATAGTAATTATGATGCCTGTGTTCTAAGTGAAACTAATCAGGCACATAGTAGCCAGAGGGCCCTGTCAGCCTATTCCTGATGGACCGAGTGATTAAGAACATAACTCTCAGGAGCATCTCCTTCAGAGTCTGGCAACAAGAGCCAAACTCCAGGGAAATGACTCGACTCTTTAAGACCCAGTCTCATTTGAAATAAAATGGAGATATATTTCTTATCCTTTGGGATCATTTTGAGACTAAAATGAGGTCATATATGTCTGGTACCTAACTTAGCACATAATAGGTGCCTAATGGATAGTTGCACTAGTAATCATAATTATCACTATTGGTGGTGTTATCTCTACCAATGTGATTTACCAGAATTAAGCTCTATCAATCAATATGAGTTATATATAAATATATTACATTAATATAAAGTATATAAACTCCATTGATCATACTAATTATGATATGTTAATTATATTAATACACATGGTCAACAGAGTTTATGACCCTGGGGAAGCCAAGAGAGAAATTCGTGGAATTTTCTAGAACAATACTGGAGGCATCTTCTGAAAAATCCATTTCCTACAGGGTGAGACTTACCATCTGTCTTATATTGAAAAAAAAAAAAAGAATGTATTAGCAGAGTATTATGTATTATTAGTGTGTTTTCCAACATAATTTGAAGATCTTCACTTTGTAAAGACGGTAGTAAATGGGAGGTCTCCTGCAAAGAGTCACCCTATGTTATTTATGGTCGTTTTCTTGTTCTTTGCTTTTATACTTAAGTGGTTTCTTTTCTTTTTTTAAGATTTTATTTATTCATGAGACACACACAGAGAGAGAGGCAAGACACAGGCAAAGAAGCAGGCTCCCTGCAGGGAACCTGATGTGGGACTCGATCCCAGGACCCTGGGATCATGCCCTGAGCCGAAGGCAGACGCTCAACCACTGAGCCATCCAGGTGTCCCTAAACTTAGGTGGTTTCAAAGCCAAATGGGGAATATAATCATCTTTTCTCTCCCATAATTTGACAATTTTCTATTTGAAAAGTAACTTTCTTATGATAAAGTAATACTGGATCTAAAAAAATTATGAAGCATGGCAAGTCCTGGAAAATGAGAAAATAATCACCCACATATTCACCATCTAGATATAACCATAATTAAAATTTGGCATTTAAAAAAAATAAAAATAAATAAAATTTGGCATTTATGTAACTGACCTAATGTTGAGTGTTCTCCTTGGTGAGTCACAGATAGAAACCACAGCACCTGGAGTGGTAGCACGAAGGAAACTTTATTTGCAGCAAATAAACAGATGGTGGGGGGATCACTTCCAAAGGTGGGACTGCCCAGCAAAGGTGGGCGGGTGGGTGGATTCCTTTTATTCAAGGTTAGAATGAATATTCAGATAGAGGAGCCTTGTCATCCAATGTGTAGGCAGGGGTAAGTTCAAGCTGGGCGGGAAGGAGCCCTGCCTCTACACACATTGCATGTTATGTCAATAGGGTTGCACTCCTCCTCGGGAGGAGATTTTGGTATTATAATGAGGTCAAGGTAACTGTGGGTCACTCCATGGTCCATCTGCGCAGGCGTGATCTGTGGTTGAGCTCAAACCAGCCTGGATGCTCTGAGCCGCCAGAGCTCTTCCCCTCATTATTGCTTGTGGGGTAGTTCTGGTTTCCATCATGGGATGCTGTGCCCCTCATGTTTTTTTCTGAGTGAAGAGATAAACTAGAAAAAAGAACTTAAGGAAAATGTGGGACAACAGTAGGTGGGTACATGTACGTGGGCAGTCAAGGTCAGCTCTTGGGGTCAATCACGAGGGGCTTGGCAGGTGACACTTAGTCTTTTTCTTTCCTCTTTATCATTTGTTTTGTCAGTGAAATTAAAATATGTACACAACTTACTTTGCTTTTCCCTTAATATTCTATAATAGAGATTTCACATAACACATATGAACATTATACTTGGTGGCTGAGTACCATTCTCCCATAATTTATTTTATCAATCTCTTACTTGGTAAATTTCACTATTTTAAGATATATGATCAGGAATGATTCTATAATATTTATTTCTTTATTATTATGTATATTATTTTTCTTCTTGGATAGACTGCTGGAAACAGAATTATTGAGTAAAAATATGGATATTTTTAAATTTGTAAGACATGTTAATAAATTTGTCTCCATAAAGGTTGTGCCAATGCTTAGTCCTGTGATCAGAAAAAAAAGGAATCAATTTATTTGATAACTGGAGATACTAAATGTGCTTTATTAATATATTGGCCATTATATTTCTTTCTCTGCAAATTCTACATCCCCTTCTTTTGTCCTGCTATCTATTAGAGACTTATTTGATGTTGATTTCCTCCTTTCTTCTTTCCTTCTTCCCCTCATTCCTCCCTTCATTCTTTCTTTTCTTACTAAAATTCATAATTTCAGATTTTTCATGGAATGAGTCTTGAATATTAAGTTTATTGCTGGCTAAAGCACAACCTAGAAGTATGTTTCTACTCTCTCCTGCAGTCGTATTATAGAAGGATTACATCAAAGTTCATTTGTAGAATTCTCTTTGATGACAAGTATATTAATATTTCCTTTCCCAGGCAGACCCCAAATGTGGCAGCTGTTAGCAGCAGCATACTGGATGCTTCTTCTTGGACCTATATATGGTTATCACAAGAAAGGGAGTATCGCAAATCCTGAAGCTAATATGAATATTGTAAGTCTTTCATTAAGAAAAATATTAAGAAATTATTAATTTATCATCAACTAGATATAATTGGTATGCTTGTCTACACCCAGTTCTACATTGACTAAATCTGCTCGCTCCCCTATTCCCTGGCATGGCTAACCAGGAGCTGAAAGTTGCTAATTTAAATTTTTTTAAAGATTTTATTTATTTATACATGAGAGACACACAGAGAGAGGCAGAGACACAGGCAGAGGGAGAAGCAGGCTCCCTGCAGGGAGCCCAACGTGGGACTCGATCCCGGGACCCCAGGATCATGCCCTGACCCGAAGGCAAATGCTCAATCACTGAGCCACCCAGGGGTCCCTAATTTAAACTTTGAAAGACTTGAGCCAAGTTGGGGCAGTAATATTCACTTTTCTGGTGGTTTGAGCTACCATCTGATGGTGGTTTCCTGAACAGAAGTTTCATGAGTTCATACAGATGACCGCTACAGAATTTCCTTGCATTCTCCCTAAAGCTTTTTCTAGAACAATTTCTTAAATTTATGAGTTGTATCAGGTTTATTTTTTTAGTTTAATAAGCCAGACATGGTTTCGATGTTTAGAACTGAAAGTATCTTAATGCAAAAATTTATATAAAAAATTGAATGGAATAGAGTGGAATGGGATAGTGCTAGTCAAAAGAAGAAGGAAGGAAGGAAGGAAGGAAGGAAGGAAGGAAGGAAGGAAGGAAGGAAGAGAGAGAGAAAAGAAAAAGAGAAAGAAAGAAAGAAAGAAAGAAAGAAAGAAAGAAAGAAAGAAAGAAAGAAAGAAAGAAGAAAGAAAAAGTGAAACAAAACAAAAGAAAAAAGAAAAGTCAAATGACCAATTTCCACCTTGGGCCTCCCACCAACGGGCTATCCCATATTCTTGTATACATGGTGCACCACTGCTGGCCTCCCCCCACGCCAAGTTTGTGTTAGAACCGTAAGAATGAAAGTGTCACAGTTTAATTAGTGTCTCCTGTTGTTCCTCTCTCCACAGTAAGCAGCAGGTACCCCGAACCTCCTACGGTGCCGAACCCACAGTCCGTGACGATATGTCTCCATATCAAAACTTCCCTCTTGTTCTCATATTCACACACATTCTCTTTCTTCCTGTTCTGGGCACTTTTCGGTTCTTAACTATTCTATAAAGATACTAAGAATAATACACATGTACAGAGCACTTATTTTGTGCCAGGCATTATTCTAGACACTTTATGTATAATCCTCAGTACAAATCTGTGAAGAGATACTCGTATTATTTTTATTTTACAGTTGAGGAACGAAAAGGTTAAATAACTTGCCCAAAGTTGCGCAGCTGAGAAAGAACTAGATTTCGATGCCATATGGTTTGTCACTAGAGTCTAGGCTCATAACCACCCCCTTTAAATAGCCCCATAATATATGCACACCTGTCGTGCACCTTGCATGGGCAACTGCACAATCCTGTGGTAAAGATATGAGCTTTGGAGCTGAACTTACTTAGGCTCTGATGTTGTCATTATCTCTTCCTAGTGGACAATCTCGGGTAGAGTCTTCATCTTGCTAAAACTCTGTTTTCTCCTCTTTAATGGGTGTAATCCCATCTCAAAGGCTTGTTGGGCATGTAACTTGTTACTAGTCACAGGGTCCTTCACAGTCTTTCATGGTTTCCCTCATTATGACCATACAATTTTTTTTTCAAACGTTTGGGAATGAACCCGGGTGCATCAATAATACCAGGCCAGGCAAACGTCCCCATGCCTCTGCATGCAACTTCTTCTAAACCCTCCTCAAGTGATCCTGATTTTCCTGCCATATACATTCTGTCCCAGTACATAGTTGAACAGTCAGTCGTACAACTTAAAGTACATTGCAACGTAGGCATAAAACCCAAGAGCCGACATCATGGATGTGTCTCTTTTCCTCTCTTCTTTTCAGAGTCAGATTATTTCCTACTGGGGTTACCCTCATGAAGAGTATGACGTCGTGACCGAAGATGGTTATGTCCTCGGAATTTACAGGATTCCTCGTGGAAGACGGTGTCCAAGAAAAAGTAGGGTTTGTTTCGTTATGAAAAGAATAACGCCTAAAGCAGAGATTCCTAGGTGTGCTGAGGGCAGCTGGGCAGCTTTTATTCTGAAATAGAGCCTGGTCTTTTTCACTAGAGGAAGAAACTCTTCACCTCTACTGGTCCTGCTCCATTTCTCTTCTGGGATCCTTTGGAGTCTTCAAAGCGTTTAGATACGCAGTTGGCTCAAACAGTACAGGAGTTAGGGATACACTACCCCTCCTGCAAGCAGCTGAAAACTCACATAGAACTTTTGACTCGCCCCAGATTTAACTACTAATAGCCCAATGTTGACCAGAAGCTTTATCCGTAACATAAACAGTCAATGAACACATATCTTGTACGTTATGCGTATCATATACTCTGTTCTTACAATGAAGTCGGTAGAGAAAAGAAACCATTAAGAAAATCGTAAGGAATAGAAAGTACATTTATAGTACTGTATTTGTCAAAGAACCCCACATCTAAGTGGACCATGTCGTTCAAAGGTCCACTGTACACTGTTTATCTAGTCTTACTTTCCTCCATCACTTTGTCCCTCCAAAAAAGAAAATCACACAAAGGAAAACCTGGTCTTGTTCTAGAAATACCCTCTTCAGGCGTAACAACCAGGCCCTCAGAGGCATCTCGATGTCTTTTTCTCCCTCGCTTCCTACATCCAGCCAATGGCCAACATCTCTCAACTTGGCCTCCAGGTTCTGCTCTCATCAGAAAACTTCTCTCAGCCTCAATTTTACTCAAGTTCAGGCTTGGCCATGATCACCGTCTTTGGCTTCAGCCGCTAAGACAGCTTTCCAACTTACTTCGTTTGTAATTAGTCCTTAAGTCATCGGAACTTCAGGTTTTAAGTAAATCCGATTAGTGCTATACTTAAGCTTAATTAATGAGCTGATTCTAGCTCCTGTGAATCCGCCTGGCAAGGACTGTTTGCTTTCCTCTCTCATCTCTCGGCCCCTCTGCCACTTAGGAGTCTTTATAACACAACTTCCTGGCATCCAAACGGTTAATCATGTAAGGAGGAAAATCTAGATTCCAAAAGAGAGAGGGAGATGTCCTTGACCTTATAGAACCAACCATCCCCCCGGAGAACTCCAGTGCCTGTGGACATCCTCGTGAGAACTTGGCCCAAACTTCTATTCCAGCTCTGCCAGCTAGCTGCCAAGAGGCATGAGGCGGCCCGCTGAGGTATAGACAGAGGCTGCGGGGCCCGGATCACAAGGGGCCCACGGCCGGTGACCACGCTTGGGCAATAATTTAGCAGAATTGGTAACAGCTCTTCTTCCTGTTTCCTTCAAAGGTAGACAGAATGGACATAGACCTTACTTTTTTTAGATTTTATATATTCATTCATGGAGACACACAGAGAGGCAGAGACCCAGGCAGAGGGAGAAGCAGGCTCCCTGCGGGAAGCCCGGTGTGGGACTCGATCCCAGGACCCAGGGTCACGGCCTGAGCCAGAGGTGAATGCTCCACTCCTGAGCCACCGGGTGCCTGGAATGAACACAGACCCAGTTCCAGCATCAGGGTGGCCAAGGGCTCTCCAGGGGCCCAGTGGTAGCCAGCCTGACCTCTGGCGCTGACCCCGTGAGGCAGCCGAGGGCCCTGGATGCCAGCCCAGCACCACAAACCGTTTGTAAAAGTCAGGAAAGTGGTCACTTTCTCTCTTTCCTGTGTCTCAACTCCATTTCCCCGCTTTCTAAGTCCAGCTGTTCCAATTCCACATTGTGAACAGGATTTTTGTACATAAAGTTCACAATTTTACGTTGTGTAGCATTTCACTGAGCATCTTGCATTTTGCTTTTCTGCTTTCTGACAATGTGAATTAAATGATGCAGCGTGTGTAAAATCTAGCCCACTGCCTGGCACTTGGTCGATATTCAAAAATGGCGTTTTTAATGTTTCTGTTATTACCTTGAGAAAAATGTAGTTTTGTAATCAGATGCTTCTTGAGAAGTAAAATGTTATTGACATGAATAAAATAATAATAATAATAATAATAATAATAATAATAATAGAGAAAGAATTTACTATGCTGGATAGTCTTTTATTATTTTATTATTTTTATTAATATTATTTTATTATAATATGATATAATAATATATTATATTTATAACATAATATTATAATAATACAATATTATTTTATTATTTTTTACCATTCTTTTTAAATGTTTATTTATTTATTTTAGAGAGAGAAAGAGAGAGAGAATGAGGGGGGAAAGAGCAAAGGAGCAAAGGGAAAGAGAGAACCTGAAACAGGTTCTCTGCTGAGCTCAGAGCCCAATGCAGGGCTCAATCCCAGGGCCCCGATATGATGACCTGAGCCACAGTCAACAGTCAGCCACTTAACTGACTGAGCCACCCAGGTGCCCCTATGGATTTTAATTCTAATTTAATTCTTATGACTACATTGGAGGTAGCATTTCTTATTAGGGTCCATCGTACAGATAAGCTAACTGAGGCACAAAGGGGTTGATGTGTTGCAGCACAGACTTTGAGCGACTCCAGGGCCTGCAGCACGGCATAAAACATTATAATTAATCCAGATTTTACAAAGAGACACACAGGACATGAGAAGACAGTTAAGTTCCCCCAAGTAAGTTGACACAGGATGCAAAGCCAGGGTAGCCTGGGGCTGATTTCAGCCATCCCCTCTGCTCTGCCACACAGGCAGCCGGGACGGAGAGGGGCTTGTAGACACGGAGGAGTCCAGTCATGAAGCTCTTGGTGCCCATGTGTTTTTCAGCTGGGAGGCCTGTTGTGTATTTGCAGCACGGCTTGATCGCGTCCGCCACTAACTGGATCTGCAACCTCCCCAACAACAGCTTGGCTTTCCTTCTGGCAGATTTCGGTTATGACGTGTGGATGGGGAACAGCCGGGGAAACACCTGGTCCAGGAGACACCTGAAGGTTTCCCCCAAGTCTCGAGAGTACTGGGCCTTCAGGTAAGAAGCTCCGGACTCACACAGAGCCAGTCGCCACTTATACGATTGTTGTCTCATACCGTCAAACGGGGGCATCGTTCATGTGTGTGGCTGAGCTCCCGCTGCCTTGCCTCTTCCTGCGCATGTTCAACGGTGGAATCCACTAGAAGGAAACACACATCTCCCTACCCAGGCTTTCTTCACAGGCTCTGGATAAATGCTCTTATTCGTGGCATTGCTGTTCATTTTAGAAACCCCACTTGTTGCTGTGTGTGCAAAGAAAAAGAGCCTCAAAAGCAAAGATCACGTTTAGAAAGGTGACTTCCAGGACTACCAACCACTTTGCCTGTGTCAACCCCAAAGGACGTTTACCTGGTGTGCTTGCTAAAAAGGAAAACTGAAACTGAAGGGGAAATAGGACCGGAACCTAGGTTCTGGGTGCAATTTTTGAGAACCAGACGCTCATGATAAGCCAAGAGTGAGCCTGGGTTGGGGGGACTCTGCACAGATGATGCCCCAAATGTCCATCTGCCGAGGTTGCGAGTAAATCGCAGGCTGGCAGGGCCAAGACGGGTCCCTGGACTCAGGTCCTGGGGAAATAGAGAGAAAGCCTGACCATAGAAGGATGCCCTGGCCGGTTCTGCTCTAGAAGCCGCACCTGCTGCATCCCGGGGCCAACCCCTATGGGCTGCCAGAGCTGGGAAGCATGCCCGGAAGGTCACTAAAGCCCTCGTGCCTTGGTTCCATCCCACCTTCTTCCTAGAAGCCATTTGGTATTTCCTAAGTCCACACCCAGGGAAATCGTGTCCTGGCATGATTACAAGTATCACCTTGATTCCCTGGGAGAGTGTTTCCCGGCTGTGACCAGAACCAAAGCACCTGAGGTGATTGATAAATACACAGATCACCAGACCTCTTCCCCAGAAATTCGGGTTCAGTGGGTCTGGGCCGACGTCAACAAATCTGCTTTGAAAATAAGCACTGCAGGTATTGTTCTTTTCAAGGGAGTTTGGTAAATCTGATCTATAATTAAGTGAACGATGATGAGCCTTGCAGGAAAATCCTCTGTGGGCCTTTGCAAAGCGGATTTTTCTAATTCTCATCTCTTAACCATGTTACTCTTGCGATCAAGGTGGCATCCTCCAAAGTTGCAGAGACACCTAATGCTCTAAATTGACTCTAGTTTTAAGTCAACAAAAAGCCAGGTATCTCTGTCTGCTATAAGTGTGCTTAACCGTCGCAGGCCTGACAGTGAGATGGTGTTCTTTTGCCTTTTTCTTCTTCTGACTATGTAGTTCTTTCTCTTTGACAGCTTGGATGAGATGGCTAACTATGATCTCCCGGCCACAATCAATTTTATCTTGGAGAAAACAGGACAAGAGCGACTCTATTACGTGGGCCACTCCCAAGGCACCACCATAGGTGTGTTTGGGGCAGGGGTGATCTGAGTGTCCCAGGACCTTCCATATTCATGAAGGGGTCAAAACTTCTTCCCTCTGGGCATCCTCTAGCTTGAGGACTTGAGCTGGGAAACCATTTCTTCTGACCGGTTTCCGAAGGGTAAATAAAACCAGGATGACTACAGGGATTTCTGCTGCCCCAGGACTGAATTTGGAGATTGATGGATAAGCCCGAGGGTGAGGGAATGATTCCCGTGTGTACACCACACACACACATAGTTGCCAGACTCGGGTTTAGACGCTGGGACGGCTGAGATAAAAATGATACAGGTCTTTCCCTTAAAGAGCTTGCAGTCTAATGAGGAGGACATCAAAAGGAAAGCAGAGAATGACAAAGCGTGGAGGTCATATGCCACAATCCATGCTTCCTTTAGTTCCCAGAGGCATGGGGATCGGGATGGGCTGGAGGTCGGTGGGCCGTGCTGACAATGCCGTGAGGCATTTGTTCCCTTCCCTGCTCCCCACGTAGCTAGCCACCCCAACGATGCCAAGAATATCTCCACCAGTCCCTCTCCTCTCCCTGGATCCTAATCAGGCTCCTGGAGTAGAGTAGGTCTCTATGCCACGCAGCTTCCGTGTGTCCCTCATTGCAACCCACAAGCACTTGAGACCATTATCATCCATGTCTTACAAGTGGCTGAATCTGGAAATCCTCTCGAATGGTGAGAATGTCAAATAATACCTTCAGTTACAGACACGGGTAATTCAACCTTCAAAAGAATCCTCCTCTAAGGATTCTATTTTCCATGTGTGCAAATTGAGAAAACTAAGAGACATCCCGCAGTCCGTGAATAGGAAGCCCAAATTGCAACCCAGTGCTGTCTGATATTACCAAGTACGGTCAAGGGAGCATGACCCTCGGGGTTTACCTAGATGTGCCCCACAAAGCGTATTTGAACCCCTTCTGCAACACTGTCTAAGAGTAGACTTAAATTCTTTAGGGACAGGAAAGTCACTGTGTTTTGAATTAGCCAGTTGTATCCTTGAGAAGTTTAGGAAATTCTTCCCTACAAATGGTACTTACTCTGAGTTGCTCTTTTAGTTTCTGTCATTATTGTTCTTAATGTGATTACTTTTGTTATCATTTACGATGAATGAAGAATTGTTTTAAATCTATAAACTAACGTGTTCTTCCCTTTCAGCCTTCATAGCATTCTCTACAAATCCAGAGCTGGCTAAAAGGATTAAGATATTTTTTGCATTGGCTCCAGTCATCACAGTGAAATACACCCAGAGTCCTCTGAAAAAATTTACAACTCTTTCCAGGGAAGTAGTCAAGGTATGTGACTTCTCCATGTTCAAATCTGTAGTAACTAAAACGAGCTCTATTTTCACTGATTTCAAGAGAAGAGAACCTTAGACAAATGACATTTTACATGCTTCTGAGGCTATAACAGATCTAAGGTGTCCATGTAGAGCTACCAATGATGGGATTTTACCAAGAGGGTTCAGAGAGCTCACTCTGATACCATCCGCCCCTGTTGTCTAAATCTACATTGGGGCTTCCGTCCTATGTCATTCCGCAACTCACAGAGAAAGCAAATGTTGAGTTGATTGATTTGTTTAACCTAGTAGGTTAAGTTTCTTTCTAGTGGCCCTTGGTTTTTGAGGAGCAATATGGATCTTTGTAACTACTGTTAAGATCACAGCATGGAGCAGATGGTGTGGGGTTGGATCCTAGCTGGCTGGGTAAATATGGTCAAGATCATAAATGTTTGGTGAATCTTTTCCTTCATCCATAAAGTGGGGATAATGGTAGTTCCTACTCATACGGCTGCTGTGAGGATTGAGTTCAGACATGTGAATCCCTCAGAACCAGGTCTTGCACCTGGTCTTAATAAAATTATGTTTAATTATAAGCTTTTAATAAATGTCAGCTACTCATTGCTGTCATGATTTGCCTAGAACATACTTTCCCCCATCACTGAAAGCCCAACTTTTTTTTAAGATTAATGTATTTATTTTAGAGAGAGGAAGAGAGTGAGCATGAGCAGGAGGGGCAGAGGGAGAGGAAGAGGGAATGTGAAACAGACTCCCTGCTGAGCACAGAGCCCTATGCAGGGTTCGATCTCACAACACTGAGATCATGACCTGAGCTGAAAGCAAGAGGCGGATCTTTAACCAACTGCACCACCCACTGAAAGTCCAACCCTACTCAACTGCCCACACTTCACAGACGCTCAGCCTGTCAGCTCCTCAAAACTCTGGGCAACATCCCGAACTCCAGATTCTCTCTGCAAGCTGACGGCTAACTAATCTGGCCAGTTACTCAACTGAAGTGAATTGGTCCATGTGGCTTAGTGTGTTTTCCTCTTACATGTTGACAAGGGCTTCCCCATGGCAGCTAACACTGATTGTTGTGTCCAGTGACTTCAATTAAACCAGATGAAAGTAAGACCATTTTTATAGAAGTCAGGGATTCTAGCTTGTGAGAAATAAGTAAATTAGCCTATAGTGATTCAATCTCATACCTATACAACCCAGAAAAAAAAAACAGAAACAAATAAATAAAAAGATACCCTGTGTTCATGGATTGGGAGGATTAGTATCACTAATGTGTCCATACAAACCAGAGTGAACTGCAGATCCAGAGCTCTCCCTACCAAAATTCCAATGGCAATTTTTATGGAAATAGAAAAAAAACTATCCTAAAATTTATGTGGAGATACAAACACCCCAAATAGACCAATCAATCTTGTGAAAGTAGAACAAAAGTGGAGGCATCGCCATCACACTTCCTGATTTTAAACTCTATTAAAAAGCTATAGTAATCAGAACAGTATCATACTAGCATGAGAACAGGTAATAGGGTCTCCTGGGCGGATCAGTGGTTGAGCATCTGCCTTCAGCTCAGGGCGTGACCCCGGGGTCCCGGGATCGAGCCCCGCATTGTGCTCCCCACAGGGAGCCTGCTTCTCCCTCTGCCTGTGTCTCTGCCTCTCTCTGTGTGTCTCTCATGAATAAATATATAAAATCTTTTTTTAAAAAAAAATAAAATAAAAATAATTTTAAAAGACAGGTACATAGACCAGTGGGATAGAATAGGAAGCCAGAAATAAACCCATACTTATGGTCAACTAATCTTTGACAAGGATGCTATGAACACACAATGGGGAAAAGACAGTATCTTCCATACGTAGTGGTAGGATAACTGGAAGGCCACATACAAAAGAATGAAAATGAACCCTTATGTTACACTACTCACAAAAAATTAACTCAAAATGGATTGAAGATTTACACTGAAGACCATGAAACCATAAAACTCCTAGAAGAAAACATAGGCGAAAAGCTCCTTGACATTGTTCTTGCCAAAGGTTTTCTGGATAAGACACCAATAGTACAGGCAATAAAAGCAAAAATAAGCAATTGGGATTAACTAAAAAGCTTCGGCACAGCAAAGGGAGCGATCAATATGTTGAAAATGCAACCTATAGAATGGGAGAAAGTATTGGCAAACCATGCATCTGATAAGGGGTTAATAACCAAAGCTTATACATTTCAATGGCCAAAAAGCAAGAAATTGAATTTTAAAATGGGCAAAGGACAAGAATGCACATTTTTCCAAAGAAGACATGCAAATAACCAATAGGTACATGGAAAGATGCTCAATGCCACTCATCATCAGGGAAATCCAAACCAAAACCACAGTGGGGTATTATCCCACACTCACTAGGTGACTATTATCAAAAAAAGATAAGAAATAACAAATGTTGGCGAGGATGTTGAGAAAAGTCAACCCTTATATGCTGTTGGCAGAAATGCCAATTCGTGTAGCCCCTGTGGAAAACAGAACAGACAAATTAAAATGGAAAATTTTAAAGAACATGAAAAGGTCAAAAGAAAATCAAGAAATACAGCCCACATGCACCATGAATGAAACTAGGGGGTGTGGCACTAAATGAAATAAGCCAGAGAAAGACAAACACTGTACTGAATCACTTACATGTAGAATCTAATATTTAAAAAAAAAAAAAAACAATTTCACCGAAAAGGAGAATGGAATGGTGGTCACTGAGAGCTACAGGAGGCGGAAATGGGAGACGTAGGTCAAAGAGCACAAACTTTCATTTATTAGACATTTCACATTTTACAGTGTCGATTATTCCTCAGTAAAGTTGAAAATGAATGAATGAATGAGTGCAAGATGCGTACGATTCAAGTTGTTTGGGAGATTCGCTGAGACCATACATGTTTGAGATGCTGTAGTTGAAGCATCACATCTTGCCTATCGCAGGTGCCTGGTGAATATTGTCTAGTTTTATTCATTGATTTTGCTTTAGATTCAAAAGCTCAGCACTTGGTGCCAACAGGACTGCTTGCCAATTGCTCCTCCCCCCCACCCCTTGTTTGCCCCTGGGCATTTATGTTCTTCTCTCTCTTTTTTCTGACCTACAGCTTGCTTTGACCCTTTGCTCTTTACATGTTATCTATAAGAGTAAGGATGGTCCATATTGTCTTCATTTCCTTTTTTTTTAAGAGAGAGAAGGAGGAGGGACAGAGAGAGAGAGGGAGGATCCCAAACAGGCTCCACGCTCAGCACACAGCTTGAGGCGAGCCTTGATCTCACAGCCCTGAGATCATGATCTGAGCCGAGATGGAGAATTGGACCCTTAACCGACTGAGCCACCAGGTGCCCTGTCTTCATTCCTTAAAAGAAGAACCTGAAGCTCCAAAAGGCTAAGCGTCCAGTCCCACGTGACCCAGCTAACGGGTAGTGGAACCAGAATTTGAACCCAGATCTGACCAGGCCCTCTCTGGTCGTTGCTCTTTCCATTATGCAGCTATTTCCCCACCTTTCTGGATCCATGGTGCCCAGCTCGGCAGGCCGTTGAGAGCTGCATCCAGCCCATGTTCTGCTTGGCAAGCCATGTGACCTGGCCTGGGGCCCCGCACCCAGGAAGGGAAACCTTAAATTCAGCTACTGGAAGAGCTGATGGGAGAATCATACCTAACGAGCACGCCCCCTCCAGAACTAACTGGGAATCACAGCCTCCAAGTCCTGTGTACCACGCCATGCGTGGGTGGCTCTGTGGCCAGCTGCCTGCGCTACCACCCTCTCTTGAGGGGAGGATGAAGGAGCCATTACCTGTCCTGGGTTGACATGTGGTCATTTTGCTGCATCATGCGTGCACGGGTGGAGGTAGAGTGAAGTCAGAGGCCTCCAGGCTCTTTCACCACCAGCTGCCAGGACAAAGAGCAAAGGCCCTCCGTGGCAGATGTGACCTCCTTCTTCACATCGTACGTTGATGGTCGGTCACACCTATGAACTGGCACTTCCCTTTCACGTGGATTTTCTGCCAAGTGTGGATGATGAAGATACTGGTGATGAAAAATAAAAGTTAACTAATTAGAATCAGACCCTGCTTTCTATTTTAATCACTTACCCGTGTACTAGCCTGTTTAGATGATCACACTTGAGCACATAGAATAGATGCAAACTTTCTTTGAAAAGGTACGTTCAGGGGCGCCTGGCCGGCTCAGTCGGAAGAGCTTGTGTCTCTCGATCTCCGGGTTGTGAGTTCAAGCCCCACGTTACTTTAAAATGGAATCTTTAAGGTGGCTCACTGGATTGAGCGTCCAGCTCTTGATTTCAGCTCCCGTCAGTATCTCAGGGTCGTGAGATCGAGCCCCAAGGGGGGCTCCGCACTGGGCGTGGAGTCTGCTTAAGATTCTCTCTCCACTGGGTGTTATTCTGTATGTTGGCAAATTGAACACCAATAAAAAATAAATTTATTATTAAAAAATAATAAAAAATAAATAAATTCTCTTAGTAGAATAGAAAAAAACAGAAAAAATGTTTGAAATTAAAAAAAATCTTTTTAAAAAGGAAGAGGAAGCCATTCTTTTTTAAAAAAAAAAAGTTGACTTCATGTGTCTGTGGCTGCTAATTAATTATTGTCACGTAGATGGCTACACACAGAGTTACAATTTGATAAGTAGGTTAAATCCATTATGTAGTAGATTGTTGAAGGGTCCCAGTGATTGTGACAAAATGAATGAGAGGCCAGAATGAATCAGATAACGTCTGCCGTGGCTGACTACTGCCTTCCAGACCTAAATAAATAAGGTGTGAACTAGATTAACGCCTTGCAGCCTCTCTTTCTGGCAGGAACGGGCATATGAAGTCACGATACGTCGTAGATTCTATTGATATTCCACAGATACCAAATATTCCGTTAAATGAAGATGACCTTTGACCATATAAAGTAACCACTTTTCAAACTCGGAATTCCACCAACCATACCCAGTAGGAATTTACTGGCTCGAGTTTAACAGAGGGTGAGATCTCATCATGCATTACCGCAAATAAAAATAAATGCTAATTATGATTGGTCTTTGGTTGTAACTGGCTGTCGATGAAGGATTCCAGGAGGAAGATACACCAGTGTTTATTACAGTAAACAGATGTTTCCAAAAGTTTTCAGAATCAAGAAATATCTTGTCAGGGGCAGCTCCTGGGTGGCTCAGTCAGTTAACCGTCTGACCTTAGCTCCCATCGGGATCTCAGGGTCCTGGGATCGAGCTGCCCTGGGCTCTGTGCTTAGAGGGGAGTCTGCTTGCCTCCTCTGCCCTCCTCCCACTAATTCTCTCTCTCTCTCTCTAATAAATAAATAAAATAATTATAAAATATACCTTTTCATCTCTGTATCTGGTATATTATCTTGAGATGATAAAAACTAGTTATTGTGAGACAAAGGCAAGATTCGTCTTCTATGCCCAGGAATTAGATATGAATTCACGTTCCAATTTGAAGGGATTCCTAACGCTCAGAAGGTAAAGTTCAACTAAATGGCAACGTGGCCTGAAATTCCACTAGTAGAGATCCGTTTGGGGGAGGTTGGGCTTTTGCCTCTGGAGGACTTTGTTGAAAGATTTTGGAAGAAGTGGCTCATTTAGTATCGTTCATCAATTATCCGAGTCGTTATTGTTTGGGGACATTTACTAGGGTCTAGAAACTGCAGTAGGCACCTTTAAGCATGGCCGATTGTCTTCACAGCAGTGCAACATGCTGCGTATTAATCTTCCACTTCATGCTTGAGAACGTTCTGGATAATAGGAATTAAATACTTCCTGGAGGCCTAAGAGACGGAGTCCAGAATCGAAGCAAGGTACCCCTGACTCCAAAGCTGTGACGATCTCCTACGGGGACCACTTTCTCAGGAGTCATTCCAAAAACACCCCAAGTAGACAATCTTGGGGAAAAGGCATCCAGAGGAGAGTTGGGAAGACCACCAAGGTGCGTTGGGAAAACCAAAGACAAAATCTAACCAGCCTCCATGTGTCACTGAGGACCGGCACCAGGCAGGGATCACCACGGTGCAGTCCTTGTCTCCCTTTCCCTGCTCGACATCCACATCTGTGAGATCTGACGGTAGCTTATTAACTTGCAGGCATTATTTGGTGACAAGATGTTCTACCCTCATACGTTTTTTGACCAATTCATTGCCACAAAGGTGTGCAGCCGGAAGCTCTTTCGTCACATTTGCAGCAACTTCCTATTCACGTTGAGTGGATTTGATCCGAAAAACTTAAACATGGTACGCGTAAGTAGTTGGATCCAAGGCATGGATTGTTTTGTTGCGCAGGGGTGAGGAGAGCTTGTCCTGAATCACGTGGAAACCACATCTCGAGCGCCTTTTTGGGGTCTCCTGAACTGAAGTTATGGGTTGGTGGTTTCCAACCAACGCTGGGGAGTCCACCAGGTGGACCTGAGAAGAGCACTCGGCCGCTGAGCATCCTCCCCAATGCTTGCTGTTGGCCTACACGCCCCCTTGGAAAGCCCCTTGCTTACTGAAGGCTGAGATTTAGGAACCTATCTCGTTGCACCTAGGCCCTCGCTCAGACCTACTGAAGCAGGATTTTGGGGAGTAAGTTCGGGCATCTGTATTTTTTAAGCCAGTTTTCCATTTTTTCACAAGTGGTTTGGAAATAGTCATCATGGGAACCACTTACTTCTGTAACCCAGAGGGATGAAAGGACAGCTTTCCAGTGACTGGTACGGGCTCGCGGTTCAGGGGCCACTGAGAGGGGAGTAGCTGGGCTTCCTTGCGAGTCCTCTCCAGCTGAAATCTTTTCTTCCCCAGTTACCACAAGCTGACCCAGAGAGTGGGAGGGAGAAGTGGGGAGCCACTGTCTACCTCCACAGCCAGGGAGGAAGCAGGACAAAGCTAAAAATGGTGTCCGCCTCCCTCACAGACTTCTGCCCACAGCCTCGTCTCCCTCTGTTAGTGGAAAACACTGATTAATACTTGTCTTGCTTTCGTGCAAGATTCATAAAAGGCGGTGTATGGAAAGCTAGGCTTAGCACCGGATTTCACGTTCCTTCCCTCCGGTCTCAGCCACTGGGGCAGTTGGGATCGCCCATTGCTTAGATGGAAGCCTATCAGGTGGGCAAAGCTAAGTAAAAACCTTTAAGCAAAAAACAAAACAAAACAAAAAACATGTAAGCAAACTCAATGGAGACAATTTCAAAAGCACCCTCTTGACATGGCCTAAGAGTCAGCTCAAGGAAGACTTCGGGTCAGGACGCCCTTGAACCTTCACCGAGGGCCTCCATTGAGTATTTGTGCAATCAGATTGCCCTTTTTTTCCCCCCACTGTTGGGGACCGTCCTGTGGGATATTACAGTTTCTGCAAGTATGTTTATTTTAGTGGAGGATAGGCAGAGGTGCATGCGCAGAGTCTGTGGAGCCCTGAAGGCATACACACGTCCAGAACTCAACCCTAGAGATTTTGGTCTTGATTCGGTCGGCTTGGGTAGCTCATGGGGGTTGTGGGTTTTTGTTTTTTTGTTTTTAGAATTTTTTAAATTAATTAATTAATTAATTAATTATGATAGAGAGAGAGGCAGAGACACAGGCAGAGGGAGAAGCAGGCTCCATGCAGGGAGCCTGACGTGGGACTCGATCCCGGGACTCCGGGATCACACCCTGGGCCGAAGGCAGGTGCTAAACCACTGAGCCACTCAGGGATCCCCCCGCCTTTTTTTAAGCGCCATGATGTTTCTATGCTCACTTTGGTGGAAAAATATAACTCTTTTGTATACTAAAAAAAAAAAAAAAGCAGTGGAAAATGTGAAAAAAATCTTTTTTTTTTTTTAATTCAGAAAAAGTCTGAATGTTAATGAAGGTCGTAATACTGGGAGGATTATGTTCCACCAACTTTCAGGGAGCCCGGTGGAGTATTTACTACATCGTTCAAACCAGAAAGCAAAGGAAACATTCAGATCTTTTTTTCCATGTCTCGTGATAAACCACCCGCTTGCCATGTGCTTGGGGACTTGATGCAGGGTGAGCAAAGTTGCAGGGACCTGTCCGAGGTGAGGCCAGAGAGAAAAGGGGTGTTAGCACCTTCGACCAGCAGGCTGTCCTCAGGCCTCCATGAAGGCTGCACAGGACGGGCCAGGCCCAAGAGGGGACGTGCTTATTCCCCGGAGAGTGAGAACCCTCAGGCACACCCGCGGTCCTAGGTTGGGCTCCGGGTGACAAGTCCTCTCTTTACTTTGCAGAGTCGCTTGGATGTTTACCTGGCGCAGAGCTCCGCGGGAACGTCTGTCCAGAACATGCTGCACTGGGCGCAGGTGGGTGCCCCTTCCCGGCAGGGGAGCCGCGAAGGCCAGAGGAGCAGCTCCGAGAGCCCGCTGCTGCTCGCCTCCCACTCTCCTCGCTGCCCCCGTCGCCCTCAGTACTGTCTGTTTCCCACGTGTTCCGACCCAACTCTGGCTTCCGGATTTGCCCCCAAACCGCCTTTTGTAGGGAAAGCTTGTATTTCCTCTTTTGGAAGGTCCTCAGTTCTAAGAGAACCTTCTACACCATGACACAAGCGGCTCCGGAAGGACCTGCTCATCCTCCTACCGGCGCGTGGGCCATTCCAGGCCATGCAGGTCGTGCTTCACTGTGAGCAAACGAGACGTTAGAGAGGGGCCGCACTGGGTCAGTGGTGTCTGGTCGTGCCCTCAGTTTGAGGTTTTTCTGTGTCCTACTGCTTTACTCAACACCCAGCAAGTTCAGAGATACATCAAATCCAATTAGAGTCACCTTTTTTTTTTTTATCGTTTAGAGATTTTACTTATTTATTCATGAGAGACACAGAGAGAGAGGCAGAGACACAGGCAGGGGGAGAAGCAGGCTCCATGCAGGGACCCCCGATGCGGAACTCGATCCCGGGACCCCGGGGTCACACCCTGAGCCGAGGGTAGAGGCTCCACCACGAGCCCCCCACGCGTCCCTGGAGTCGCCACGTATGAGTGTGTGTGTTTGGGGAGCGGACAGGGAAGGGGAGACAAAAGATCTTTCCAGAGACTGAGTGCACCTGGGATCCCCAGGAATTTGCACTTTATCCCACACCCTAATAAGCGGGTTCCATGCTTCACGGCTGAGGGGCGCTGCTGTCAATGGTCTGAGGACTTCTGAACCCCGGTGCAGAGTCCACCCGCCCAGGAGGTAAGCCTCCGAATTCCTGCAGGAAGGAGGATGCTCAGGACATAGGGCCTCCTCTGGGGAGGAGGCAGGGAGCCCACGGTGGGCACGGCCTTCTGGGTGGCGCACCTCAAACTCCACGTCTACTCATGAGGGTGGCTTCACTCCGTCTCACCGGATTCTGGTAAACAGGCTTCCGGGGAGGGCATGGTGACCCCCGTTCTACAAACGTCCCCGCCGGTCCCTTATGCACCTCTCAGCAGGCTGCTCTTCAATAGCTCTCTCCTCCTGTGACATGAAGTCTTCTTGAGGACAGAACCAGGAGGACGCGTCGGGAGGAGATGGAAGATGTGGTTGCGGGCCACGCACACGGCTAAGGCAAGGGCGACGATGACGGCAGTAGTCATATCCGTGAGGTTCTGAGCATCCCCAGCGTTCCCACTTTATGTGCGTTTCTGTGTCATTTTACCTGGTTTGCGTTACCCTGTCTGACCGCCCCCCACCCCCACGAGGAGCATGTTGCCACTCCCATGTCACGGACGAGAACTCGGGAGACAGGTGACTTGCTGAGAGATGCACGACCCGGGAAGCCCGTGCTCACTCCGGATCCGCTTGCTGCGGCAGCCAACGGCCCGATGGGCCCACACTCTGCTTCCCGATGCTGCCAACCTGCAGAATTGCAGCAGTGGCACACTATTGCCTCGGTCCGTCGACACCGGGATGGAGAGAGTCTTAAGCTAAAAATCAGGATTCAATCGCTGGTCGTGCAAAAAAAAAAAAAAAAAAAAAAGATCTGAGACTGAAAACAAAACAAAATCCACAAAACCCCTTGGAAGAGCCTGAGCATCACCTCGTGAGGCGCCTGGGGCACATGCGAATGTCTCCTGCCTCCTCCCTCCGATGTAAGGGGCAGGTCCCAGTGGAAGGAACCCCGAGTGCAGCACGGGGTGAACGCTTGCATCCTAATAGCCGAGGTCTAAACATTAAAAAGCAAAAGTGGGCAGCACGGTGTGTCAGAGGCTGAGCCTGTGCCCCTTCCCTGGCGACAGGGGCAGGCTGCGTGGACCCCTCGGGAGGAGCGGTGCCCACCCCACGTGGAGGCCCCAAGGGTGCTCTCGCCCAACGTTCCTTTCAATAGCAACAAAAATTGTTGAGAGTGGGGAATATGGTCATAATATCCTAGACACCTGACAAGGATGCCGTTTGTACATTAAAACAGTCGCTTTTGGGGACACCCAGGTGGCTCCGCGGTTGAGCATCTGCCTTCGGCCCAGGCCGTGACCCCAGGGTCCCGGAATCGAGTCCTGCGTCGGGCTCCCTGCATGGAGCCTGCTTCTCCCTCTGCCTGCGTCTCTGCCTGTCTCTCTCTGGGTGTCTCATGATTAAATACATAAAATTTTTAAAAAAGTAAAGAATAATAAAATAAAACAGCCACCTTTCAAGGCAGGAGATGCACAGCAGGTGCCTTTTGAAAAGATACTAAAAGTTTTGAAACTATGATGTCCAGGGAGCCTTGGCTTAGGCGTCCTTGTAAGCGGCTCTCCACACGGTTTTGGGTCCCTTAGAGACGCTGCCATCTGAGCATTTTCGGGGGAGACGCGTGGGTGGGGGGATGAGAAGGCGGCTCTGCGAGCTGGTTCACCATCCCGTTGGCTTCTGGCTCCTGTGCCCGGAGTCCGTGGGCGGTGGCTCAGCCTCTGTGTTCACAGATTTCTCACGTCAGCATCGTGACCCTTTTCTGTTTCTGTCTTCCCTAGGCTGCGAACTCCGGTCTCTTCCAAGCTTTTGACTGGGGAAACCCTGCTCAGAACATGAGGCACTTCCACCAGGTACAGGTGGCGTCCGCTAAGCATGTAGTGTCGGCCCACTGAGCCGTGGCCCCACACCTCGTACTTGAGTCCATCGGGGTGTCTGGCCGGGTTCTGAGTCGTTCCCCGGGATCCTCACCATGACCATGCAAGGCCAACGGCACCACCTTCGCTTCCGCAGAGAAGTGAGATTATGTCCATTGTCCGCAGTATTTAGCTGCTAATGGGTCAGAGTGTCACCCAGGGGTTCCAGGGTTTTACATCCATTCCTCTTCCACTGCCCTTGTTCCTTCTCAAAAAAAAAAAAAAAAAGAAAAGAAAAGAAAAGGAAAAAGAAAGAAAAAAAAAAGAAGCTCAGCACTTTGGGGACCATTCTTTGGGATGACATCTACGACTCAGTTAAACAAAAAACAAACAGGGATCCCTGGGTGGCGCAGCGGTTTGGTGCCTGCCTTTGGCCCAGGGCGCGATCCTGGCGACCCGGGATCGAATCCCACATCGGGCTCCCGATGCATGGAGCCTGCTTCTCCCTCTGCCTGTGTCTCTGCCTCTCTCTCTCTCGCTGTGACTATCATAAATAAATAAATAAATAAATAAATAAATAAATAAATAAATAAATAAATTTACAAAAAACAAAAAAAACAAAAACAAAAAACAAACGACCTATGGATGATCAAAGATAAAGTGGACAGAAATGCCACTTTTGGGGAGAAGTTCCGCCGTCTGTCAGGGAACGGCGCATCAGTCACCCACGCCGTCGGAACCAGAGTTCTGTGTTAAATGGCAGCGTGAGGTGTGTTGCTCTTCTTTCCCGTGTTCATAAGGGAGCCAACCATACGTGATTTGGCTCTGTGCAAGGAGACTGAGCCCAAATGAAACCAGCAGTCACCAAGGACGTATGGGTCAAGTCAGGGCGGGGACACTGGTGACTCCAGCAGCATATTTGCGCTCCTGCCCTGGCTTTTGCCCCCGGATGGTCAGGCTCCCTCCGGACACCAAGCCCCCGCAGACCCACCCCCTGCACCCCAGAGCCCGCCACCCTTGCAACCAAAGCCCGTCGGGCGGGAGCAAGTGACTGCAGAGCCCGCCTGGTGCACCGGGCCGGCTGTACCTCCGGGTTTCCCGCCGAGCCCGCAGCTCCTCAGAAGCAGGGCTGCTCGCGTGCACGGACGAGCCTGAGGCTCAGCACCTCGGGGGGTGTGGAAGGCCCCAGACTGAAAGGGAACAACATGCATGTGCAGAAAGCAAACAACCCCTGTGCCCCAAGTGTACGTGGTGACCACAAACGGGGCAGGTGGGATGAGCGATGCGATCACCGACCCGTTACTACTAAGAATGTTAAAAAAAAAAAAAAAAAATCTTGGCCCCAAGCTGCGATGTCTCTTTGGCATCCCGGTTGCCACATCTGTTTTCGCGCTGCCCTCCCCGGGCCCTGCCATCCTGTGTGGCTCCTAAGTCAGCGGGGGCTGCTCAGATGCCGCTGTTGCCCCCGAGCCTGCTCCTCCATCCCATCCCCAGACTGTCCCCCGCCACCCCCGTCCTAGCCTCTGTGTCCTGCTGTGAGCTCCCTGCAACAGAGCTCAGCCCCTGCTCGGGTGCTCGGTGCCCTCGGGGCAGCCCAGGCTCCCCTAGCCCCCCACACCCCTGCTCTAGGAAACCTCCCGGCCAAGGTGACAGGTGCCAACAGCTCTGCCCCCTTGTCCATGTAACTTTTTCTTTTTTTAAAATATTTGTTTATTTATTTATTCATGAGAGACACAAAAAGAGAGGCAGAGACCCAGGCAGATGGAGAAGCAGGCTCCATGCAGGGAGCCCGATGCAGGACTCGATCTCAGGACCCTGGGGTCACGGCCCGGGCTGAAGGCAGCGCTAAACCGCTGAGCCACCCAGGCACCCCACGTAACCTTTTCATTCCTGATCTTGCCGCCAAAATGAATGATGATATATTTTCTTTTTCACTGATTTCTTTGTTCATTATTTCCGTATTTGTTTTTAGAGAAAGAGAGGGGGGGAGCACACGGCAGGAGGCCAGAGGGTGAGGGACGCTCAGGCAGGCCCCACCCGAGTGCGGAGCCCCACGCAGGGCTCGGTCTCACGTCCCCGGGGTTAATGACCCCATCCGGACCCAAGGGCTGGACGCCTGAGTGAGCGCACCCCCGGGGCCCCAGCGGAGGTGCATGAACCACTGGGGCTGCCGCAACATGACCCATCGGCCACAGTCCTGGAGGCTGGAGGTCCCAGCTCGGGGGCAGCGGCGGGTCCTGGCCAGGAGCCTTCCCGCCGGCGGAGGTCCCACACGGAGCCTTTCCTTCCTCTGTGAGCGCTCCTCCCCTTCCCGTCGGCCTCCCAGCCTGGGACCCCGCCTGATATGCTCTGCGGCCTGGACCCCTCAGGAAAGCCTTATCCCCACTTACGACCGAGTCAGGACTTAGCGTTTGCACATGGGAATTCCAAGAAGACGCGGTTCGCTCTGCGGGTTGTGGTGCTGGTCAGGATGCTCCGGTTGCAGGGAGCAGAAGACAGCTCTAGAGTGGGTTCAGAACACATATACGGCCTCACTGGCCTCAAAAGTGGGGTGGCTGGGGCTCCGGGGGCTCGACCTGGGCAGCATCCGGCACATTTCGGCACAGGTCGCAACCTCAGGGCCTGCGGTGGAGCCCAGCGTGGGTCGGCCTGCGGGGCAGGGAGTCGGCTCCAGAGTCTCTCCCTCTCCCTCTGCCCTCTTGGCCCTTGTGAGCCTGCTTGCTCTCTCGAACTCTCTCTCGCTCTCAAATAAATAAATCTTTTTTTTTTTTTAATGTGGAGGTAAACTCACGATACGTGGGCAATGAAATGCCGCCCTCGGCGCTCCCCTCCCTCTTAGGCTTATTTTAAAAGCATCAGTGAGGGTGTGACTGGACGTGCTTAGCTCATAGCGAGCGTCCTTTGAGCCGCAGTCCCAGAGAAGAAGCCAGCATGTCTGTCGGGGGCTCAGGCGAGGAGCTCCAGGGAGCCTCGGGTCCAGGTTGCCGTGTGCAGCTCTGTCCTCTGGCCACTGAGGCCAGAAGCGTGAGGGCCTGCTGCACCCGCCGGTCACCCTGGGCCGCTGGGGGGCGACGGGCCGGGATGGGCTGGGTCTGCACGAGAAAGGCTGCAGGACCCGAGAGAAGGGGCCGGACATCAACAGCACAGCCACGTTCTTGGGGACGGCCTGCTCCTTCTTCGCCTCCTTTCCCGATGTCGTCCTCCATTGGCCTCAATGCTCCCCAGAGAGTCTGCTCAAGCGTCAATTAATCCCTGTTGCCCGGATTCCCGCAAATGGGAAGAGGTATTTACGTGTATCCTACGCATAAATACGTATATTTTGTTCGAAAGGGACGTAGTCCCTGTGCAAGGGCTACTAGGAAGATGATCCTCGTGAAATAAGGGCCCCCTTCCCCAGGATTCTTTCCTGTTCTCCCCAAGGTGCAAATCAGGGACGAGACGGTTACAGGCTTATGTTTTTGTTCACGACCCAAATGCTCCCGCGGAAGTGTTTGCAAGCACCCTTAGCATTTTAAGGCTCGTGGATCGCTGGGTGTATTCCAAGCACACACATCTCGCGTTTGGAGACCTTGCTTAACAGCTGGTCGTTGGTGTTACTTCCATGATGTGCTTCCCTGTGAAAACTGTTTCTTCTCTCTCTTTGTCTCCCACCGTGACTAGCGGACGCCTCCCTTGTACGATGTGACCAAGATGGAAGTGCCGACCGCCGTGTGGAGTGGAGGACATGACCGTGTGGCCGATCCTAGGGATGTTGAGAATCTCCTCCCTAACATCACCAGGCTTATTTATTACAAGCTGATCCCGCACTACAATCATGTGGATTTTTACCTCGGACAGGATGCACCCCGGGAGATCTACCAAGACCTCATTGAGCTGATGGACGAACATTTGCAAAATTAAATAGCATTCTCCGTTCTCCAAGCAAGTGGATTTTTGAAATAACGTGGCACACAGACCCTAAGGTGAGCCCTCTAGTGACTTCCACCTCCCAGCGTCCGTGTGCTGGTGGAGTCCTCTCCCCGTTGAGGCGGGGAGGGCCCTGAGCCTTGTCCGTGGCCCACAGAACGGGCCAAGGTAACGGTGTCACACCCCCAGGGCAGATCGCGTTCACGGCACAGATGATGGGACGTCGCTTCCTGGTTGCACCATATTATACGAGAAGCCACCTAAACAGACCGGAGAAGAGAGTCCCCTTGTGGGCCTGATGAGCTAAACAGGCATGGGGAGGCGGTCTTCATGGCAAGGAACCCATGTGCCTCGTAGGGTCTGTAGGCGGCCTCCGGCCCAGAACCAGCAAACACACACCTGCGACACGAATCACATCCAAATCCTGAGCTGGGGAGCCCGCCACGCCCCGTAAAGCCTCAGCTGAGAACACAGGCTGGCCACACCTCGCTTGCAGCCTGGAGTCCCTGCGCGGAGGAACTAGCTGTGCCCTGCATGCCCGATGACCCCATGCAAGAGTGAGAAAATAGATGTTCATCCTTCTGAACCCCCAAGTTTGTGATTTCTTGGCAGCAATGGCAAACCAGCCTTAATAGCAAAAATAAACTGTTATCATTATTGTGATTCTTACCTCATCTCCGTCGCTAACGAGGAGACCTCGTTCCTCATCACCTTTATGTCCTATTTCTCTTGTTTTGGTGAACTTCCTTAAACGTTCCTTGTTTGGGGATCTGCTGGTGATCGATTCACAGCGTTTGTCTGAAAAAAGTCTTTGCTTTGCCTTCGCGTAAGGGCAAACCATGTGCCGTTCGTTATAGGCAGGTGTGAAGCAGGTCTTCCTTATCCACTCACCCACCAGTGGACATTTAGGTGGTTTCCTGTCTTGGCCATTGCGGATCATGTCGGGAGGCACGTGTATCTCTTCAAGATCCTGGTTTCAATTCTTTTGAATATGTACCCGGCTGTGTGATTGCTGGGTCGCGTGGCAGCTCTGCTTTCGATGTTTTGAGGAACTTCCAAGCCGTTTCCTATGGTGGCCACACCCTTTTGCGTTCCCACCAACGGTGCATGGTGGTCCAACGTCTCCACGCCCTCGCCAACACTTCTGTTTTGTCTTATTAGTAGAATTATGGGGCGTGAGGGGATATCTCATCGAGGTTCTGATTTGCGTTTCCGTGGCGGTCAGTGACGAGTGGAGAAGGTGCACGGCCGCGGGACTTGTCCCCCTGGAGGCTGGGATGCCGTGTGTACATCCTTAGAACGGGTTTGAGAGGCCCCAGAATCTCCAACTGGATTGGTTGGTAAAGAAAGTATTTTGCCTTCATTTCTAAACTTTCTTCTAAATCTATATCCCCTCAGAGCTCTCATACTCCTTCTTCGTACTTACTGCACATTTTTTTCCTTTGTTCTAAAATTCTCTTTTCACCAGTGGATTTTCAACAATATGATTTCGTCGAACCTTGGGATGGTTTTGTTGTGGATTCTGCTTGGAATTCTGCAGACTTCTTGAGTCTAAGGACTTACACTCTTCATCAAAGTCATAAAAATTTTGTTCATCATTTCTCCAAATACCTTTTTTTTCCCCTCCAAATGTCTTTCATTCCTTCACGTTCTCTGGGTCTCTCATTTATACCTTAGACCACTTGCTATTAACCCACAGGTCATTGAAGTTGTACATTTATTTTCCCAGTGTTTTCCCTCTGTGTGCTTCCATTTGGATAGTGTTGTGGGTGTTCATACTCGCAAATTTTTTCGTATACAATGTCTAGTCTGCTGTAATCCTATCTGCTGCACTTTCTATTTTGGAGACGATATTCTTCATCTATAGATATCCTAGTTAGGGCTCTTTTATATCTTGTTTTCCCCCTCCTTGCTTTGTGTTTTTCTTTAAATCCTTGAGCATAGTAAGCATCTTTCAGAACCTTTTTTTAAAAAAGAATTATTATTTATTTATTATTATTTATTTATTCATTCATGAGAGACACAGAGAGAGAGAGAGAGGCAGAGACAGAGGCAGAGGGAGAAGCAGGCTCCCTGCAGGGAGCCCGACGTGGGACTCAATCCCGGGACTCCAGGATCACGCCCCTGGCTGAAGGCGGTGCTAAACCGCTGAGCCACCAGGCCACCCAGCTTAAGAACTTTTTACTGCTTGCCACATGTTGAATTTTGCATTGCTGAGTGCTAAGTTTTATTTTATTCGTCTTCAATAGGGTTGGACTGTGTTTTCGGCGGTCAGTCCATTTGCTTAAAGCTAAGTCTGATTGTTTTGAGACTTGGTTTTGCTTCTGATTTGTCTTCCGTCTCCTTCAGGGCGGGTCTAGCGTGATGTCTCCTCTAAGGGACTTCTGTCCTGCTCCGGGGCGTGCACGCTCTCGGGTCCTCCCTTGGGCCCCGCGTGCTCAGGAAGGTCTCTCGGCTGGCAGGTGGCAGTTCAGATGAGCCCCTATGCACACTATGTGCACGCTAGGGATTGTTCTGCCTCCAGTTTCCTGGCAATTGTTTTTTTCTCTGAAAGTGTTACCCTGTCCGCCTCGGGTGGACTCTTACCCTTAACATGGGCACCTTGCTCTTTAGCCAGAAGCGCATTGAGATGCCTCTGCGTATTTCAGAAGCCCTTCCTCTCCCTACCGCTCTTCTCTTTGGTCTTCTGACTCGGATGCTAGCATCCTCGTCTTCTCTGAAGTCCAGTCTCTGCCTCCATATATCATCTAGACCATGGAACTTGCTTTTTCTTTTCTTTTCTTTTTTTTCTTTTTTCTTTTCTTTTCTTTCTTTCTTTCTTTCTTTCTTTCTTTCTTTCTTTCTTTCTTCCCTTTCTGTTTCTGTCTCTGTCTCTCTCTTTCCTTTTCTTCTTTCTTTCTTTCTTTCTTTCTTTCTTTCTTTCTTTCTTTCTTTCTTCTTTCTTTTTTTCTGCAAAAAGCTTGTACTCTTTCCACTTGGCCCATGGCTTGGGGGAATGCTCTAAGGTGGTTAAAGGTGGTTAAAAAGCTTTTATTTTGGGGGGAATTATAAGTTCATTATGCTTTAATATGATGATGGATCATCCCTGCCCGCCAGCACCATCCTCGGAATGGTGATGAAGGTTGAGAGACCTGTGCCAGTCACAGCTCAAGCACTAGTCACCACAAGAGAAGAAACATACTCGTGTGTCACTCGTGCTTCTCGTGGCAACATTGCACACAAATGGCCCCAATTCCCTGACTTTTCCTGTAGACCGCCCCCCACCTGCACCCCCACCCCCAGCCAGCCTGCCCTGCGTCCCTGGATTGTCCCCCACATGTCGTCTATTCTTCAGCTCTGGCTCCCGAGCCCATCTATCCCTTGAGGAAACGGCTCTAACTTCACGGGGTTACGTGGGTCCAAAGGGCCCTTCAGTGGGTACTGGCTTCCACTCGGTTCAGGTGGAAGGCTCTGGATACCTCCCAGTAAGCCTTGTGGCACCAGGGGGATGTGAGGGGGACCCTTCACAGGCTGCCAGGTTCTGGAGGCTCCCAGTCATGCATCGGGTGAGCCTATTGAAGAGATACACATCCAGCTGGCCTGGGGGCACCAGCCTGTGGAGGTGAGCCAGCTGGCCCCCCATCTCCTTGATGAGTTTCCTCTCCTCACCTGGGAGGCGGCTCTGCAGGAAGTCCTGGAGGCAGAGTGTGTGTGAGCAGAACCCAGGTCACACAGATCCAAAGGGCCTGCTTCGGGCTCCTCCCTGAAGCACGTGGCTTCCCTGGCACCCACGGCATTACTCCACTCCCATCGAGCTTTCTTTGGGTTCCCCAACTTTTTCTGTGATCTGGAAATGATTAGTGGGCAGAACCTTCAGGCTTTCCTGGAGATCACCTCCATTCACTTCCTTTGTCTTGGCGATCCCAGTGTCAGGCAGCCGGATTGCCACTGTTGGAAGTCTGTTGTCCATCACTCTGGCTCCAGTGTCCTAATGTCTATGGTACCATGGTGATTCCAGACCTTGTTGCTGTCTCGTAGCTAGAAGCAAAAGCCAAAATTCTTTTTAAAGATTATAACATTGCGCTGATGCAGAGCTACTGTGACTTTTTTTTTAAAAAAAAGCATAACTATTAAGAATTTTACAGTTCCTCTATGTTCTACCTAAAATTGTCTCTTAGGATTCACGTTTAAGTGTCACGTCCAAGGTGTATGAGTTAGTGAGTAACATAGGATTGGAACCATACTTCCAGAATGCTGAGCCAGTGTAGTATTTTTACTGCGTTAGTTTTTCTCTAAAAAAGCTTTATTTTTTTTTAAGATTTTATTTATTCATGAGAGACACACACACACAGAGAGGCAGAGACACGGGCAGAGGGAGGAGCAGGTTCCATGCAGGGAGCCCGATGTGGGACTCGATCCCGGGTCTCCTGGATCACACCCTGGGCTGGAGGCGGTGCTAAACTGCTGGGCCACCTGGGCTGCCCTCTCTAAAAAGCTTTATTGCTGGTGTGCCCAGGGGACTCAGTTGGTGAAGTGTCTGCCGTCAGCTCAGGTCATGATCCTGGGGCCCTGGGGTCGAGCCCCACGTCAGGCTCCCCGCTCAGCTTCCTCCTCTGCCACTCCCCCTGCTTACACTCTTGCTCTCTCGCTCACTCTGTCAAATAAATAAATAAAATCTTTTTTTAAAAAGCTTAATTGTTTTCTCCTTAATACCTTTAATTCTGAGTTTTTCCTCTGATTATCTCCTCTCTTCCTCCTTTCAAGGGTGTTTTCACCATGAAATACCACTGTACCAGAACTTACCATGACTCTGCTGTTTTTTATTTTCTTCCACCAAACCCTCCCTCCCCGGCTATATTTCAAAGTTTGCCATAACCTGACTTCACATCCTCTTCTAGTTACATCTGCCTCCGCTTCCTTACCCAGATGTACATCACATCTTTTATTCAAATATGATTTATATACTTAAGTCTTCCCACACATCTTCCTCATTCTCCTCGACACGATCTGCCCACGCTGTTTGCCTTAAACTGAATGGAATTCAATTAAAATTAAGTCACAATGTTGCATTTCCTAATCAGGTTGGATTTTCTTGTCTTCAGTGCCATCTCTTAAAAATACTCTTTTTAAATTTATGATTTGTTTTCCGTAGAAGCCTCTAGGTACATCACTATCATTCTCATCAATCACATAAGTGTAATGTGTTTAGTTTGGTTTTGCATCACATGTTCAGGAATCTGGACATCGGCAGCTTCCCGAGGGGAGAAACTTTTAACAAGGAACCACCTTTTGGTTCCACCAGAAGCTGACTTTGTGCAGAACTGGGGCGCTCAGAGGTCTCCTTCTAGGGACGTCTTTGTGGTCCTTGCCAAAGAAATCTTCAAACAGCTCCTCGGAGTTATAAGTCATTTATTTAAAATAATTTATTCAGCAGAGACCTGGGGCAGCTCATCCGGTTAAGCATCCAGCTCTTGGTTTCGGCTCAGGTCATGAACTCAGGGTCATGGGATGGAGCCTCCAGACAGGCTCTGTACTGGGCGTAGAGTCTGCTTGAGAGTCTCCCTCTGTGCCTCCCCCACTCTTCATGCTCTAAATGAGTGAGTGAGTGAATGAATGAATGAATGAATGAATAAGACTTTTTTAAAGATTAATTTATTTATTCATGAGAGACCCAGAGAGAGAGG